TGAAGACTCCTTTGGGGTACTTCCCGATCACCACTTTTAGGGGTTATGTGTTTTGCTACTGTTTGGCACTGTTTTATGGATTCAAACAATTGGTTGCGATTATCACAGAATTACTGTCCAAAAGGAGCAATGTATTCAAAATCAAACCACGACCTCAACCACCGGAATGCCTGTTAGACAAGCGATTGGGTCAACACAACTTTATCCGCACAAAAGTATGTGTTTTAATGATTTTATTTTATATAATTTGAAAACAGATGACATATTAATTTATTTATTTAATGAACTTACATTTTTAATTACTTGCTATTTAATAAATATTATATAACTTATTTGTTTTATTGGACTTATACTGAATTCTTACTCAGATTTCTAGACTATGAATATATTGCACAATAACTTAAGTTTTTACAAATATGTGTATAACTAACGCACAGAATCTAAGACTGCATTACGTATCAAATGGTGATCGGAGTAAACCATTGATGCTATTCCTTCACGGATATCCCGAAGTGTGGTATTCCTGGAGATACCAATTGCCAGTATTCGCCAAAAACTACTTTACGGTCGCACTCGATATGAGAGGTTATGGAGATTCAGACAAACCTAAAGGTATTCCTATTTTATAAGTTTTAAGAAACTGTTTGTCAGCCTATTGTGAAAATTTCTGATGTAATCTAAAAAGGAGTACAAAACTATTCAATGGATAAACTGGTGGACGATGTAAGGGATGTGGTGCACGGGTTAGGCAAACAAAAGTGTATTCTCGTGAGCCATGACTGGGGCGGTGTAGTGGCCTGGTCTGTGGCCGCCCAGTACCCGGACTTAGTGGACAGGCTTGTCGTATGCAACGCACCCACTCGATGGGCATGGATGGAGACCATTGAAAACGATTGGCAACAGTTTCATAAATCTTGGTACGACCTCTCGATTTGCATAACCACTTCCACTGTATTATGAAATGTCGTGTCATTTAGGTATGTGTTCTTCTTTAACCTCCCGTTCCTCCCGGAGTTATTGCAATCACGAAATGATTTGCAAAGATTTGACTTAATGTTTGGCAAGTTTGGCAATAAAGAGGATACAGAAGCGTATAAGTATTACTACAGCAAACCGGGTGCCCTGAGTGCGCCCATCAACTACTACAGGGCCACTCAACGCGGTTACGCCACTCGATACCTGTTGGCCATGAAGAACAAGCGCATCACTGCACCGACACTTGTACTCTGGGGTAGGGATGATATTGCGCTCAATGAAGGTCTGGCCGCCGAGAGTTGCAAGTCCTGCGACAACTACACCATCAAAATGATCGACAAGTGCTCCCATTGGACGCCAATCGATAAACCAGATTTGGTTAACAAATATATTACAGAGTTTTTGGAGACTAATTAAAATATGCCAATAATTATCCCACGTCTCGACTATACCTCATTTGAGATCCCTGTGCACTGATTTGGAAAACTTCTATTTTTGTAGAAATAATTTAATTACTAAAAACACTTTACTTAACATAACATACTTATGGTTTTATTTATAGTATAGTTTGTTTAGTCTATGTCTTGGATTACATTATGTCAAAATGTCATCGATTTTAATAAAATCAAGTTTTTGTCTGAATATTATCGAAAATTAAAAAAAACAAAGTTCTAGTTTTTATTACAAATATTTAATTGAAATGATATACAATCATCAAAATTGAGACTTTATTACAAATTGGTATTTATATTAAGATGTTCTTTGATTTGATTATAAGTTAACAGAAGTTTTATAATAGAAGTTAAGCTCAAAAGTGATGCCAAAAGTAAGGAGTTATTTAAATTAAAAGCCAATTTTAAAACATAATTATTTTACACGAAAACTAATCTGACAAAAGTGTCTCAAAATATCTCAATTTCACTCGCATTCAAATCACAATCAATAAACAAGTTTAACGTTTAAACTTTCAATAAAACATTATTTGGGACTTAAATCGAAACGCTAAGAAAGTAATGAATTAATTAAATAATAAATATTATTATATTATGATAGAAAGGTAATCAGAGTAATGAGTGTTGCGTACGGATTGTAAGTTAAGTGCGGTTTTAAAATAGCTTTTCATTGATTAAAAAAATACAATCGATATTCTCAGTGATTGTCTTCAAAATAAAAAACAAATAAAAAGTCAAAAAATAGAGTAATGGTTAACACAAAACAAAACGCTATAACAGTAAGTCTTATATAACTTAATACCCCCTCGAGGTGTGCGGGGGTCCGTCCACTACGACACCGTCCACTGCATTATCGTAGAGTCGCGGCCGCCGATGGATATGAGCCGCGAGTCATCGGCCATAAAGCGTACGGCCGTTATGTGACTGCTGTGGCCGGCGTACGAGTGGTTCAGGCATTTGGGTTGAGACGCCGGATAGCTGTAGACATTGATTTTGCCAAAGTCGTCACCGGTAGCCAACAACGCATTCAAATCACAATCAATAAACAAGTTTAACGTTTAAACTTTCAATAAAACATTATTTGGGACTTAAATCGAAACGCTAAGAAAGTAATGAATTAATTAAATAATAAATATTATTATATTATGAGAGATAGAAAGGTAATCAGAGTAATGAGTGTTGCGAACGGATTTGTAAGTTAAGTGCGGTTTTAAAATAGCTTTTCATTGATTAAAAAATATCTCAGTGATTGTCTTCAAAATAAAAAACAAATAAAAAGTCAAAAAATAGAGTAATGGTTAACACAAAACAAAACGCTATAACAGTAAGTCTTATATAACTTAATACCCCCTCGAGGCGTGTGGGGGTCCGTCCACTACGACACCGTCCACTGCATTATCGTTGAGTCGCGGCCGCCGATGGATATTAGCCGCGAGTCGTCGGCCATAAAGCGTACGGCCGTTATGTGACTGCTGTGGCCGGCGTACGAGTGGTTCAGGCATTTGGGTTGAGACGCCGGATAGCTGTAGACATTGATTTTGCCGAAGTCGTCACCGGTAGCCAACAGCTTACCCGAGTGGGAGCGGTCGCATGTGTTCACGTCTGAGCCGTCGGCGCTCTCGGGCCATATGCCCAACACATTGAACCCAAGCGTTGCGTTATGCGTCTCCCACTCGAGATCCCTGGCTATAGACATGTTGTTCAGTTGCCTACAGGTGCCGGCGTTCCAGAACAGGTGCTCGTAGTCGCCCGAACAGCTCTGAATGTAGGCGCCGTCCACAGTAAAGTCAATACTGTTCACAAAACTCGAGTGACCGGTGCAGCGGCCGATGCGGTTGTATTTGCGGTACTCGTCGCTCACGGCGTAGACGTAGACGTGATTATCGCGCGATCCGAGGGCCAGGAAGCGGCCGTCCGGCGAGTACTTCACGCACTCGATCTGTTCGTTGCCGTCCGAGTGCATGGATATGAGCTGACGGGTCGTCGCGTCGATTACTATCCATCGGCTGCCGACTGTCGTGAACACCAGTACCGAGCCGTCGGGCGAGAAGGCGCACGAGTGGACCGGTTCTCCCAAGTCTTTGCTCCAAACCGTCGAATGAGATAATGTGTCCCATAAGTGAATACATCGGTCGTAACCGGCAGTTATGAACTGGTTTTGTGTGGGATGTATGGCCAGCGCCCACAGGTCGTCGGTGTGGCCCTAATCAGTGGACAGACATTTATGTTTACAATTCAGTTATGAAATAAAGTCATCAAAAAGTCCGCAATACCTGTACTACTAATGAGAAATTAAGGGTAAGTGTGCCCTGAAGTATGCAGTTCTTAGTGGTGCCCACCATTAACATCGAGCCCTTGCCAGTGGTCATCGTTCGCACGCCACCGAACTGGTCGGGTAGCTGTCAGTCAAACACAAATAGAGACAAAGTTATTATCAGTTTGTCTACAAATGTCAACAAACAATACCATACCTTAGCCTCCCTTCCGGTCCTATTAAGCATACCGTCCCACTCGACAATGCGCTTGTCTTTGCCGCCACCGGTAACTACCGTTCCGTCTTTGAGTATACATATCGTGAATACTCCGCCGTCGTGTGCGTTAAAGACGGTCCTAAGGGGACGGTTACTACTCCTCTGCCACACCATTATGTTCCCATTGGAGTCTCCGGTCAATAGCTCTCCCAAATCATTATAAGCCAAACACAACACATATTTAGGCTTTTCTTGTTTCTGGAAACACACGGTTCGCACAGAAAATCAAACATTAAAATCAAAATATGAGTCAAAAGATAGTAAGAAAAAAAGTTTTTCCCATTATTTTCGAGTGAGAAATACAACAAATACTATAATAATACTGTATATAATAAGAGTTTTTTCTTGCATTCCTATTACAATAGATTGAGTTCTCAATGGAAGCGAACCATTAAAGACAACATCAAAAGCTACGATAGAAACGAGTTTTACTACACTTTTCATCTAAATTACACCGAAAAAGTGCACTAAAAATAGGAGAGAAATACATTACAAAAGACTTAAACATAAGTTAAGATTATTTTTGTTTTCAGGTTTCGGGGGGAGAATAGAGTACAACAAGAGATCGGATGAAAAATAAATAAAATACTAAAAACACAATTAATTCTAAACATAGGCTTACGGTTAACGTGAGGCATGAAAATTGAAAAATTACTTTAAACTCAGACACCAAACACTTTGTGAAATGCATATAAATGTGTTATTTATTCGCTATTTTGGCAAATATTGAATTAACAAAAGGCACACGAATTCAAAAATCATACAATACCTCAAAAGTGCCCAACCGTTTGGATAGTGAGCCGCCCTCTATGTCCCAGAAGTGGATGTGACCCTTGCCTATAGTGGTCAGACAGAAGCGGTCCATCGGGTGGAACTCGACGGCCAGCACCGGATCGCAGGAGGTCTTGGTTTCGGTGATCTTATGCGCCTTCTCTGTCTTCTGCCAGTCCCACAGAGAGATGGAGTGCTCGGCCGACTCGTCCACAACGCACAGGAGGTTCCCGCCGTCCAGTTTGGAGAAGGCCAGGCATGCGATCGACCGGTCAAAGTCACCATTTTGGCCGATCACGTGCAGCGTATTCAGGCTCACGGAGTCCCAGATGCGGACGTGCGGTCTGCGCTCACGTCTGTCCAACAAAAAGGGTTTATGAGTTTATGGTAAGTCATAAAATATGAGATACATTGTCGCCGACAGTCATAACATTTATATGACTCGTAAATAATATTTGTCTTAAGAAAACAATACAGAGGTGTGACTTACAAAATAGTTTTATATCATTTCCATTAGTAAGAGTTTGTAAGTCATGTTTGTAAGCATTTTGCGAATCAAATAAATTATTACTTATAATTTAATTAGAATAATTAGTTTGCAAACAATGCTCATACCTGTCCAGACTGGCCACCTGTCCCGTGGCGATCAGCAGTTTGTTTGGATGAATGGTGAGACATTTAATATCGTCGGTGTGTCCTAAATAGTGTCTCTGGATCTGGTCCTCCACATTGTACAGCACAACGACGGCAGCGATAAAGTAGACGATTTCACCGGTGGGTAATAGGAACAGGTTATGCCTACAATCGCGGCCTCTATAGCCATAACTATATTAGGGAAATAACAATACAATGCATACGATTAAAGTAAAAGTCATTGAAAATAACCGTTTGGTTAAGAGGGACGACAGGTGTTCTCCTCTCATATGTAATGAGGAGTTAACGTAATATTAAATAAAAACAAAACCTAATAAATAAATACATACGAAAAGCGCAAGAATTTAATAACAAAATTCGTGCATATCTTTAACACTGACATACATTTGCAATGGAAGTTCACTCCATAAAGGAGTTCATTACTTATAAAATAACAAAATATATAAATTATATTAAAGTTTTTGAGACTGAAGTTAGAGAAATAATGCAAAATATTTAATGCATTTTTGTGTGAGAAATATTTTCGCAGATTATATCAAAATAAATAAAATAAGTTAATATAATAAAAAAGAGTGGTATGTTATTTTATCGCATAATTGATGGCTTAATAATGACCCTGGCACTTACACCCATTCCAATTTGAGTCGTTGTGTGGGCGGACTGTTGACTTTGTTTATGGAGTAGCTGTGCAATAGGTCTGTCGGTATGTGCACCACGAGTGGATGTCCTCTAAGGTAGAGCCGAATGATGCCGTCGTCTGAATTGTTTGCAAAATAAATAAAAATGAGTTTAAAATCCAATTTTTATTTCCCCGGCTCTCGATGTGAAATATTTTTGTTTATTTATTTAATTAGAAACAACAAAATTGGAGTTTTAAGTGTGATTTTGGGATATCGTATGCCGGGTCCTAATGATCAGATAATCCACTTATGAAACCGCAAAATATATGTGCATTTCCTAAGCGCTCAATCCATTGATTCATTATTTTGTACAAAAACGAGATTTAAATAAATAATATCCTAATCTAAATGAGCAATTATTGTATGTGTGGGCACAGCATCACGATAATCATAAACTATTAGCTATTAAAACAAAATTATTATTATTTCTTCGAGATTAATAGATAACGCGTTTAAATAACATAACGATTATATAAAACATGAAATTAATTCATGAGATAATTACTGATTCAATCAATGGGTGCTGAAAAGGATTTCGAGTAAAATATTATACTAAATTAAAACAAAACTAAATTTTAAAATTCAATTTTTTGGTTCAAAAAACAAGATATTAATGTATATTCATAATTAATTCATAATTCTTATGCACTCGTATTTACTGAATATATTATTTTCCACGGATTATTGTATAGTATAAGCGTTTGATTTATGAAAAAATATTTATAATTACTTTGAATACTATTAATAAAGAGGTATTTTTTTGAATGAATGAAAATTTTTCTTCAAGACTTCGCGTACAACATATCTTAAGGCTTATCAATCATATTGTGTGTTAAGTTATATAAGGGTTGACTGAGTTGGTGGTAAAGGCATTGAGATATAGGCAGCGATAACTTCCTTCCGAAACACAACAATTTCTGGTATTAATTCCTAAAACATATATTATTTGCATTCATGTGAAGCAAAACAAACACTTTATTTGTCGATAATATTTTCGAAAAAAACTTTTTAAGTCAAGAGATATCTGAAAATCGTACGAAAAAATCCTTTAAAAAAATATTCGCATTTTAATTATTCAAATGAGTGTACGATTAGGAGAGCTCTGGAAATGCATTTTGAAACCAGAAAATCAAATAATAAATTATAACGAGAGGTGAGGAAAAGAGAGACTTGTTTTACACAAACAACAAAACTCCGTTAGATTTTGTTTAATGTATTTTTCTCACTATAATTGAGCGCTTTTTAAAAGGAAATTCAATACTTGGAGCGCTTTTTTGAAAAAGGAGTTTCTGGTAATAAAATATGTTCAATACATACATAATATAATATAAATTAGTGAGGAATGCATACAAACCTTGATTATAAGTCGCCTCTTTAGTGCTATATACGAGAGACAAACAAATATAACAATAGAATTAGAAATGTTATTAAATATAATTAAAAGCAAATATCATTAAGTAATAAACAATTATACAAAATGAGAGAAAAAACTATTGTCATTGAAAAACAGGTAGAGAGAGAGAGAGAGAGAGAGAGAGAAGTTGAGAGTGAAAGGCGTTTGTTTAGAGAAATGTTGAGAAAACAATAATAAATTATGAAATACAATACAAGTGTATAGAAAGAGAAAACACTTGAAATATCGCAAACACAACCCATAAACCCATGCATTACACGGAAAAAGTAATGAGATTTTTAATAAAATAAGTTGCAATGAAGTTCCGCCACCGTTAACGACAAGTATACCAGTAATTTTGAGTGTAAAAAAGGCTCAGGAATGTTTTATGACATCTAATTGACATAAGAAATGTATCGTTGATTCGTTACCCATGTCTGATGTGGTTCATGGCGGTGGCAGATGAGGGTCTCATAACATGCAGATTGAATAGCGACCCACTAGTCATCCTTCTGATGGCATTTTCAGAGGTTATAACGAAAAATACAAAATTAATAAAATCAAAAAATACGATATTTTTTTGTGTTAAATTCCCAATAAAATTGATATTCAAAACCACAGCTTATGTAATGCCATTATACATATGAATAAGTTATGTCTCGTATTTAATAAGTCGAGCGCTTCTTAACGATAATTATGATAAATAACAAAACCATTTGTCAATATTTATGTCATTTACTGTCAAACCACTTGATTGAGAGGGGATTCATTGGGCTTAAGATACGATGATTTTCGCCGAGATTAGCACCGATTTACTCACAGACGTGTCATTAATTGGAAAACTTAATTAAAATATGAATTGCTATTTAAATCTAAATACTACACAACCATTTCATTAGTCTGTTTGGAAACATATTTTCTTAGTTTTATTGGTTGAATACCAAAGACTATTGAACTGAGAAGACATTTCTACTTTCATAGCCGCATGACTTCGTGTGTGAAATTACATAACAATTATTGAATAAAAATGTCAATTAAGTGATTACTATATTTGCATTCATTTCTGTTCGCAATTATAATTAAAACTACAAACGAATAATAAAAATAACTTAAACTAACAAAACAAAAACAGATTACGAGATATTACGGGTACTAAACACTGTAATAACGTAATGTGAAAATAAGACTAATCGGTGCTAACATAATGTGAATATTAAAGAATCCTTTTACATATTCATATAATTACACGAGTTTTGGTACCCAACAAAACAGCCTAATGATTATTACAAACTCATTGTCATAATAAATGCATTTATTTTGCGACAATTTTGTTATGCTAGTTATAAAACTTTTTTTTTGTTGGTCGCGAGTGTGAGTTATGGTAACACAAAATACAAATTAAATCAATAAGTTATACGTGTGTGTGATGTTTAGCAACAAAATAACCGTAACTATAGTCGACTGAATGCATACATAAAAATACTACTCTAATACCCAAAAAATGCAAACTTTTCACTAATACTAGCATTTTTAAGCGGTTATAGCATGAGAAACAAAATGTTTTGCGGCGGCGGTGGTGCTAATGAACTTGAAAGGCCTCTAAGAATATATACACTCAATATATTAGCCGCTACTTTACATAAGGTATCGATCAATATAAAAATAGTATTGGCGTTCCGTATGAAACACACAAAATACAGTTATGACGGGTAATACGAAATGTGTATTAAAAATGACATTATATTGACATTAATGATACGAATCACGAAATCGATTGCCCGTTCAAAAGCGATTGCACCTCATATTTGGGACGAGTATTCAATGATGGATTCAAATCACATACTTGAATACAACGAGATTTATCTATCAGACATCGTATACATCATAATAAAACACTGCTATAAATATATTCAAGGGTATAAATCTTTACAGAAATATGAATAAAATAAATAAATATAAGAAAATATATAATAATTCTCGAGTGCATTATTATTATAGAAACTATTTTTTAAGAGAATTTATAGAGAAATATAGTAATAATATTTCGCTTAAAAACAAAATACTTAATTAAACTCTGGAATGGCTTTATATCTCATTTACTTTATGCTATTTTTATTAGTTTTAATATCAAAACACACATTATTTCTATCAAAAAAATTAAGTTTTATTGCTATAAAAGACAAGTCATATATCGGATGAGTTATAATAATAATTGTCTCATAAATTGAGGCCAAAAATCATAATTAAAATCTGGAAATTATAAAAGAGAACACAATATATACTGTTATATAACTTATTGTACACTCAGTGCAGAGTATATATGAAAAAGAAAAAATAATTAATTATAAAACTATTTCAAAACACTTTTAGTGATCACTTAAGAGCCGATAAAATGAATGCCAAGAGTTTGCAGTAAATTGTATTATGAAGCGAAATGTTATATAAATTATTGGCTTATATCTCGGAATCGATTAAAGCGATAAATATTATCAATTAATAATTGCTTGTTATGAGCGCTACTTATAAGTCATTGCATTTTTTCTTAAGTCCAAAAAATTATATATAATTATAATAAAAGAAAATAATGTTTTCATAAATAATTAAAACATAACGCATAAGACTGGGAGCGTAGAGGGGATAACAATCTCAATATTAGCCTAATTTGTAATTTTGAATAAAATATCAATTCTTCAGAATTATGTGAACAAAAAAGTTCGCAAAATATAAATCAAAAACCAATTTTTTACGTAAAAAAGGTATGATTATGAAAAAAGTTTAATTGCATTACAAAATCAAGTTTAAAGTTAAAGACATTTTTAATGCGAAAATGCGCTCAAAAAATATACGATTAGAAAATCCATGACTTTAATGCATACAAAAAAACAGCAAATCCTTATAAACTAAATTATTAATTGACTGAAACCTTAAGACTATACCCCGAAAAATCTGAATAAAAAGTTATCAAAAAGCTAAACTCAAATCTGCAGTAAAAACAAAAAATCCAAATACCGGTAAATATAATAAGCGATTCAATACTGAAACCATAACTAATATAAATACACGACTCGATGCAAAAATAATTCAACGAAAACAACAAAATATAAAAAACAAAAACATGAGAAAAATTACAATAAAAATGAACACAAAAATTGGATTCAAAAGGTATGCATCGGAACAACAACAACACAAACAAATACATACTTATTGGCCATTTCGAGACTATTGCCCCTAAACTCCTGACTGGCCGACCATTTCCTCATCGCAACCAAATTAGAAGTGGACGCCGAGTACGGCGACCGCATCTCACGGCCGGGCGTGTGTCGGGGCGACGCCGTGGGTGTGTTGGCCCGGTATGACATCGACGACTGGGACGGGGAGGGCGACGGCGCGGGCGACGCGCTGTTGGAGCTGCTGTTAAGGCCACCCCTTTCGCTGTGCAGTGAGTTGTTGGACGGATAGTGCGATAGCCGCCGGTGACCGTTAGCCGCCAGTCCATTGCCGTTCATACCGGGGCTGCCATTCGTGAGATTGCCTTTCAGAGCGTTTCCATTGCCATTGCCATTGGGGGTGTGATTGTAGTTGAGATTATAGTCGCGACTGTATTTCTGGCTGTAAATCGATTGCGAGCTCGCGTTCAGCCGAAGTGGCGATAAATGTGAGCCTTTACTGTTGAGCGCATTATTAGGCACTGTATTGGACGTAACGACAGGTGCTGTGCGTTTGGAGTTCCAACAAACCGGACGAACGGATCAAACAAAACATCTCTTTTAGAAAAGGGTTTACATGAAAGAAAACAAAGCGAGAGAGAGAGAGAGAGAGAGAGAGAGAGAGAGAGAGCATATAACAAGGATAAGTACCTCTGCCCTCTAACTGAGTAACTCTTCGGAGGACATCAGCCAATGTACTCCTGAGGCACACGATCTCATCGGACTGATGGGCTAACTTGCGCTCCAAGTGGAGGACCCGGTGCTGAAGCTGT